GCAGCTTAATCAAATGCCCTTTTCCATTTTCTTTTAACCAATGAGCCCCTCCCCCAACCTCAGTGCTAGGGATTGAACCCAGAACTTCACAAATGATGACAAGCATGCTACCAACTGAACTAGACACACTCAGCCTCTCCCAACAAACCTTAATTCTCCTAACCATATGTCAAGGACTAGAAAGAGAGATCTTGTGAAATTTATTGTATTCTTTTCTATGTCTTCTCTAAGTCAAATGCCACTAGCTACTTTGTTGATAGAAAGTTTGCCATATTGTGTCATGCATTGTGTCATGCTGGCAAACAGCTCCATCCCTAAGAAGAGAATGGGAACAAATGCTGGTGAAATCTTTTTCAAGTTATTACTAGCCTGGGAGTCAGATTTCTTATGGCCATGAAAACCTCCTCCTGAGGGATTTTTTTTTCCTGGTGGGAGTGATGTATATCTGAGAAAGTAGAAATAACTTTTAGAAAGGCCTGTCCTAGTGCGAAATGGAAATAAAACGTAGAAAGGAGGAATCTCTTCGGCTGTACAAGCCAAGAACTCAGTGACGCTAAGTCACTTGCCCAAGGTTGCATAGGGACGTCCAGATGCTGTTCCAGGAGCTCCAGGTTCTGTGCTCCACCGCAGCAGGTAGGCGGTCGTGGCGGGAGCTCACTAATAGTGACGGTACTAATGACGGAGCCTCTGACCAGCGAGTGGCCGGTGAAAGGTGGCAGATTCTCGCGTCGGCCCTCACAGATTGGCTGCGCCTCTCGGCTTTGAGGAACAGTTTACGGGATTGGCACCCTGGGGCTCAGGCTCTGTAGTTCTAGGTCCTCGGCCTCCCACAGGTGTGGGCGAAAGCCTGTCATCTCGGCCGGGGACCAGCAGGCGGCGGTCTGCTGTAAGGGGGTCTCGGGCGACCAATCACAGCTGCCCAACCCGCCCGAGCCTGGGAGGCGACGCTGGGAGGACAGCGGAGAAGGCCGGGAACAGCCGCTTTTGAAGGATTGCTTGAGCTTCATCCGCCCTAAATCGGAACACCTGCACCATGGGCGTCTGCATGACGCAGGTGCAATCGAGACACGCTCAGCCACCGCACCCTGCGTCCTTGCTTCGGACCTTCGGAATCCAGGGCGTCGGCTCAAAACTAGGAACGAATATGGGCCGCTTCTTCTAAGTCAAACCCGACAGGTGAGGGAATCCGGAGCGGCAAGGGGAGGGGATCCGATGCGGCTTCACTCCTGGTGGCCACCCATCCTGACGGGGTGTAGTCTTTAGACCACCCCGCCCCATGGTGGGCGGGCTGAGCGCGCAGGTCCCGCCTTCTGCCTATAAGAGTGGTGCGGCACTGCAGCTCCGCAGATCTCACCGAGACCCGTGACCCTGACTCTACGTGAGACGCACAGCCCAAACTCATCATGGTGAGTGAGGCCCCATTTGGATCTCTCTGGTCCTGTAAATAAATGCCCCGCTCCTCTAGGAAACCTTCCTCTAGAGATGCTGAGGACCCTTTCCTTAGCATTCCGAGTTTCCAGGAGATGTAAGAGTTTTGCACTTCCCCCCACCCCTCCTTGTGACTTTGGCCTAGTGTGCTGTCCACCTTCAGATGCTGGGGACTGAGGGAGGGTGCTTCACTAGCAGAGAGGAGCCCTCCTGTAGTGACCTGCTCGTCTGTGTCCCTAACTCTCCTGAGGGGAGTCACGAGGTCCTGCACCCAGTGCTCTCTTCGGGCAGCAGAAGACCTGCTCGGCTGCCCCCGCCACCCATACCCCCTGAGTGAGTCCCTGGAACTGACCGAACACGTGCTTGGCGCCGGTTGGTGTAAGGGGTTACTTGGTACCGCACCCCGTCCTCCTCTGTGTGCCTCCTTCCGATCTACACCCCCCTACATGACTCAGCACCCCCTCCTGAGCCAAGAGGGGTGGCGGGAATGGGGTTCGGCCTCGGGAGGCCAGCGGGGCCTCTCCTACCCGAGTGCGGGTGCTCGGGGGACAGGCAGAGACAGCTGGCGCTGATCTACAGCCCCGGCCGAGGCCAGGTTGGCGGGGGAAGGGAAAGAGGTGTATGAAGGGGGTTGTATTTATAGCCCGGAGCGGGGGCAGAAACCCAATCCGAGCTTTCAGCTGGGAAGTAACTGGAAAGACTCCAGTGGGAGAGCAGACGTAGGGCCCAGGTACAGATGGCGCTCCCCTGGCCTTGTGCAGCAAGGCGGGTTTCCTCAAGGGCCTCCTAGCAGGTTCCACTTCCTTTTCTGGGTATTTAGAAATTGTCGTGCCCCACCCCGCCCCCATGCGCCATTTGGTTGTGGAAAGGGAGGCGCACAGGTCCTACAGACCTGGGTGTTGCAGGGTTAAATTACGGACCACCTAGACTGAGCCTTAAGTTGCCAGGGCTCTAGTATGTACACCTGTATGTCAGCCGACAGCAGGTGACAGCAGTTACCCACATTATCGCTCCTATTTCCATGCGGGCTGAGGCGAGGATGGAGGTGGTGAAGCAACGCAGAGTGTGGGGGTGGAGGTGGGGAGAGGAGCCAGATGGGATTGATCCCTCAGGGCCAGATGGAATTTAACGTGGAGGTTCCAGCATCCCGAAGGCCAGAATGGTCAGTTGATACCAGATGGAAGGTTGAGACACCTCTTTGCCCACAGGAAAGAAGGGGAGAGGGTTGTGAGAAATTTTAGTTAATCTTCAAAGCAAAGATTATCCAGGTAGGAAGCTGTTGGCTATAAACTGTAAAACATATTTCTAGAAGCTGCACGGACTGGAGGCAACTGGAAAGTCTGTCTCTCCGTGTATATCCCTCTCTGTCTCTGTGTCTTTCTCTCCCCACACTCCCATTATAATTGCTGAAGCCCTGCCTGTCGCGTGTGCATGTCCTCTCTGCCCCCTCTGGGTGTCCTGTGGATGTAACAGGATTATACAGCTCTCTTGATAAATTCTCTACTGAGAAGTAGGCTAAGGGGTTGGTCTGCCCTGATGGCTGCCTCCAATCTGGGGAGTCCTGTGCTGAGGAGACCAGAGAGGCTACCAGCTGCTTCTGACCTCTGTGAGCCCCAACCTTACCAACTGAGTAATCTCAGCTAACAGGCAAGAGGGTGGGAAAGAACCTAATGAAGTGGGTAGTTGTGGATGGGGACTTATGCTGTGACCTTCTCTGTATCCCTCAGCGTGAGTGCATTTCAGTCCATGTGGGGCAGGCAGGTGTCCAGATGGGCAATGCCTGCTGGGAGCTCTACTGTCTGGAACATGGGATTCAGCCTGATGGGCAAATGCCCAGCGATAAGACCATTGGTGGAGGGGATGACTCTTTCACCACCTTCTTCTGTGAAACTGGAGCTGGAAAACACGTGCCTCGGGCGGTCTTTGTGGATCTGGAGCCTACTGTAATTGGTGAGTGGGGGTGGGGAGTGGGGGGTTCCCTTTTGAGGAAGGTGGAGAGTGTCTCTTTCAAAGAATGTCTTGACTGGGTTTTTTTGTTATCTTTAAAGACTCTTGATTTTATTTGACGCTGAAGATGGATGTTGACCCCAAGATGCTGGCAGAAGGACGAGCTAGCTCTTTCATCTCTCTGGCTTCAGTTGCCACTCTGTGGGTGGGGAGGAGGAAGGAGCATAGTCATGTGGGTTTTGCCCTAGCAATGTGATATACGGTTTTTCAGATGAGATCCGAAATGGCCCATACCGCCAGCTCTTCCACCCAGAGCAGCTTATCACTGGGAAAGAAGATGCAGCCAACAACTATGCCCGTGGTCACTACACCATTGGCAAGGAGATAATTGACCCTGTACTGGACCGGATCCGCAAGCTGGTGAGACTACAGCCTGGCAGGGAGGGAGCTTTAGACTCAGTGCTCAGGAAAAGTGTGTTTTCAGATCCAAGTCTCGGATCATCACTAGTTTTGTTAGAATTTGATGCTGTTAAGGGACATTCAGTCTTTGTCCTAACATCTGAGATACTTTAGAACCTAGAAAACTAGAAAATTCCTCAGGCCTTTCCCCTACCTATATATTGCTCTTTCTTCCTTGCCTTTCAGTCTGACCAGTGCACAGGACTTCAGGGCTTCCTAGTATTCCACAGCTTTGGAGGGGGCACTGGCTCTGGCTTCACCTCTCTGCTGATGGAGCGGCTTTCTGTTGACTACGGCAAGAAGTCCAAGCTGGAGTTCTCCATCTACCCAGCCCCACAAGTGTCCACAGCTGTAGTGGAGCCCTACAACTCCATCCTGACCACCCATACCACCCTGGAACACTCAGATTGTGCCTTCATGGTGGACAACGAGGCCATTTATGACATCTGCCGCCGTAACCTGGATATTGAGCGCCCAACCTATACCAACCTCAACCGCCTCATCAGCCAAATTGTTTCCTCCATCACAGCTTCCTTGCGCTTTGATGGGGCCCTCAATGTGGACCTGACAGAGTTCCAGACCAACCTGGTGCCCTACCCTCGCATTCACTTCCCCTTGGCTACCTACGCACCAGTCATTTCTGCAGAGAAGGCCTACCATGAGCAGCTGTCAGTGGCAGAGATCACCAACGCCTGTTTTGAGCCTGCCAACCAGATGGTGAAATGTGACCCTCGGCATGGCAAGTACATGGCCTGCTGCCTGCTGTACCGTGGAGATGTGGTGCCTAAGGATGTGAATGCTGCCATCGCTGCCATCAAGACAAAGCGCAGCATCCAGTTTGTGGACTGGTGCCCCACAGGCTTCAAGGTTGGTATCAACTACCAGCCACCCACTGTGGTGCCTGGGGGTGACCTAGCCAAGGTGCAGCGTGCAGTGTGCATGCTGAGCAACACCACTGCCATTGCTGAAGCCTGGGCCCGCCTGGACCATAAGTTTGACTTGATGTATGCCAAGAGGGCTTTTGTACACTGGTATGTGGGTGAGGGCATGGAAGAAGGGGAGTTCTCTGAGGCTCGAGAGGATATGGCTGCCCTGGAAAAAGATTATGAGGAAGTAGGCATCGACTCCTATGAGGACGAGGATGAGGGAGAAGAATAGACCGCTACTTTGAGCCTGTTCACTGTGTTTATTGCAAAATCTTTCAAAATAAAGTCTCCTTGCATGGTTTCCTGTCCCCTTTGTAACTGTTTGAGCTTCTGCTTGTCCCCCCATTCTGCTTTGGCTGCTACCTCCTGCTATTTGCTGCTCGTGACCTTTTATTTTACCTGTACATGGCTGACAGTGAGACTTGCCAAGGGTCCCCACATTGAGCCCCAGAAAGTATGAGCCTAAGGACTTTGATGTAAGGTCCTATGGATACTCAGGAAAGAAACAAGAACCAAATCCTGGACCTGTCTGTCTAGCTACAAGCTATCGCAAGATACAAGTCTTCACTTTTTGAAATGTCTGATAGCTTATGTTGGATGGTTGGACTACTTTATTCTTCTTGCTGCTGCTTCACTCGACAGCTCTGAAAGCAAGGCTTGGCCTAGGCTTCGTTGAACACTGAGGATTTGGGAATGGGGGCTGGGCGGGCCCAAAGTTCCTGGGCATACAGCCACCTCACAAACTTTGGGACTGGGCAGGAACAAGGGCAATCTCCTAGTTGTTTGTGCCATTGCACCTCTGGCAGCTTTGTATAGCTTGCTGTCTATCTTACTTTCTGGGGCTGGAGCTATGCTATTAAAAGTCAGGTCATCTCCCCTCTGTTTGTGCTTTCTTTTGGCCTCAGCCTCTGCTCGGGGTGGAAGCCTCCCGCCTGGGCCCTAGGGATAAATTATACTTCACTAATAGGCACCCTAGGACTCGGGTTGACGTCAGCATGTAGGGGTGGACATGGCTTGGGGGAGGAAGCTTCAAAATCTCCAGAACAAGAGCACCAACCCTGCCCTTGCTTCCCCTCCCTGGTGATTCAGGGAAGCAGTGCCCTTCCCAGAGGAACAAGTTTAAAACCCAGCTAAGGCAGGGTGCCTGTTTACTCAGCAAATAGGGCAGGAAGTGGCTGCTGGATACTGCCACAGGCCACTAGCCTCATCAATTATTAACCATGTGTGAGCTAGAATAGTCAGGAAGACTGGGAAAATTGGCTGCCAGCTCCACTCCCTTTGTCCCCTGCTGAAGGGAAAAGACCCAGTGAGCTTCTACCCAGAGGTCATGGACTTGGCAACCCTGCCGAGCTGGGCTGTTCTAAGCTACCAACCCTGGGAATGAATGACAGAGCTAGCTGAGTGTGCTTTCAAGGGGACCCTGGTCACACTTCTTGGCACAGAAACCAGCTCAAGCTAGAGGCTCTCTGGTTTTGACTAAGGCAAGCTTAAAAGACCTGCCTGCTCCCAAGCTGCCACAACTTAAGAAGTATCTGCCTCACGACATCATACCATCCCTTGGAAATAGCAACCAGAGAGTTCATTCTTTCCCTCCAGACACAGACCTAAAATACAGTCTGTTTTCACTTTATTCTCCCTTCTATGTATTCTCCTGCTCCCAGAATTGGAAGCAGAACATGATATGTGCCCAGCAGCCCAGCTTTGAGCCATATTTTCTGTTTCATTTTCCCCCCAACTCACCCTAGGCTCCTTGCCCAGGTATTGGGATAAGAGAGCAGAATATACAAGGACCCACCATTCTTGCCCCTGGGTGAGAACCATCCTGGGCAGAACGGAAGGAGTTCCAATGAGGGATGAGAGCTGCTTCAAGGTCATCTTCCCAATATGTCTGCTGATTTGATCAGATTTGGGTGGTATGCTGGCCAGGAGCTGGTGGCTGCAAGGCCTCCAACTGACTGAGGAGGACAGGGATGTGAGGCCGCTGCTGGGGATCCACAGTCATCATTGAGGCCAATAGCTGTCGCAACTCGGAAGAATGCCTGTGGGAGGGGAAGGCAGATGACTGGAGGACACCTACAACTGATTCCAAGTCTACAATGCTTGGTGTCCCTCTTGCTGCTCACCTGGGGCTTTGTGGGATGTTGAGTTCATTTTGCACAGCAAGAGCCACACTGTCACCTTTCTGGAACACCATATCATAAGGGCCTTCCCCAAACATCATGGCATAAAGCACACAGCCTAGGGACTGAACATAATTTGGTTAGTTCCTAGAAGGTGAAAAAATGGCATCTATCTCCTTATTGCTATGCTAAAAGGAGACCATGTAAGCAGCTAAATATGTCAACCTCACCCAGAGGAACCGTGTTAGCAGGAGGAAGGCCTGTGTGGCCCCTGCTTAGCTAGTGCCTCTAGCAAATTCAGCCACAGCGATTGCACAGCTTCCTGAGAACAGTATCAGTGATGGTTCCCAGGAAGGAAGTGGACGGGTATGGAGACATATTGTGGTTCTGGGGTTCCATGCAACAGAAACCAAAGGTCTCCTTCCTTTTACTCCAAGATAGTTACAAAGCCACACCCTTCCCCACCCAGGTTCCCACCCACATGCTCCTCACCCAGACATCAGTCCGCTCATCGATGACACAGTGGCTTTGCACAGAAAAAAGTTCAGGTGCCCGGTAGGAGATGGTGCACCGCTGGGCTGCCCAGTCCTGGAACAGTGTCCCCAGAGCTCAAAAGTGGAGCACAAGCCATATCATGTGACCAAATTGGTGCATGCATCAGAATAATCTGGGGATGGGAAGGAGATGGCCAAAGAAACCAGGAGACTCTCTTACCTGTAGAGCTAGGGCCTGGCGAGAACCCTCCACTTGAATGCATGCTTGATTCATAGAACCCAAGTCCATTAAAACTGGCTGCCCCTCATCACCAAGCAAAATATTGGTGGGCTTCAGGTCCCTGGAGGGAAGTGAAAATGATCCAAAGGCATCCTGGGCAAGGAAGCTGGTATCCCAGGGAGCACCATGGAGAGTGCAGAGAAACTCCAATTCTCCTGGCATTGCTCTTCCCCCTGGCCTCATTAAGTGCATAGGGCCCGCCTACTGACCTGTGTGCATAACCTTTGGCATGAATGGCCTCAAGGCCTCTGCAGATACCCAGCAACAACGGAAGGATTTGGTCTTCAGTCAGGAAGTTGCCTTGGTCCTTCAGCCTTTCTATCTCATTCCACAATGTACCTCTCTACAACACAAGTTTTCCTCTGTTGAGACTTTTTTTTTTTTCTTTGAGACAGGGTTTCTCTGTGTAGCCCTGGCTGTCCTGGAACTCATTCTGTAGACCAGGCTGGCCTCAAACTCAGAAATTCACCTGCCTCTGCCTCCCAAGTGCTGGGATTAAAGGCGTGGGCCACCACTGCCAGCATAGACATTTTTAAAGCCTCTACTTCCAAGGACTCTATTTTGTGTCAAAGTCTGTCCACCCTTTTACTACATACTCTCTTACTGATCATTTGGGGCTGTGTGTGATGTTCATAGGGGACCCTATAGTCCTCTGGGTCCCAAATTTAAAGTGACCAAAGCCAGGACATGTTCCTAGCATGTTTATGTTTGAGAGCCCACAGAGCCCTTGGTGGGGTTGTGTAATGTTACAATCCCCTCTAAAACCACAAGTTTTTCTGACCTTGAAGAAGGGCAGCAGCAGCCAGGCTTCATGCTTAGCACCTCGTTCTTTCAGAGAGTAAGCCATGAGGCGAAGGATGTTTGGATGCTGGAAGAGGCGATGCATGTCTGCCTCTCGCTGGGCCTCTTCCTGGTCCTGCTGCTCATGACACAGGATTCGCTTCAGGGCGTAGAAGTGTCCATCATGCAAGCCCTCCACTAGGTCCACATAGCTGAACCCACTGTGGGCCAAAGGGGCCAGTGAAGGACAATGGTCATCTCCCACACAGCTTGGACCCAGAGTAATTCCCTTAGGGAGGAGTGCCTCTCACATGGAATAGAAACCCTCCCAAGACGTAGTTTTCAGATAGTTTCAAGACACGAGGGTCTGCAGTCCTCAAGAGCAGGGGCACAGAAATCACTGAGGCTCTTTGGTCTTAGCATAAGATGTTCAATAAATTTCAAGTAGCAATCAAAATTTAGTAAGTCCTCGTGAGCAAGGCACTGGGTGACATGTTTTAAAGAATATACTATCTCACTTAGCTCTCACAAGTCCCTTAGTGAGACATTATAATCATATCTCCGTTTAAGCAGAAGAAACCACAGTTTACCTAAGGTCACTGTAGATCCAGGAGGCCAGGATCTAGAATCCACTTCTTGACCCATTCAGCTACCACTCAGTGAGGCAGAATCTAAGGCTAGCACTCTTGTGTCTCTAGCACTGTCCCTGAATGACCTGGGTCTAGCTAAGTGACTTCCAAACACTCACCCCTCCCCCAGTTTCTGGACGAAGAGGTAACGCTTATTGTCAATGATGACAGTTCCCCGGGAGCAGACACACAGTGCGTGGCCCATAACGTCTCAGTCATCCTCTTCAAGGATAGTCTTTCTTCCAGGGAGAGTGGGCTCTTCCAGGAGATGGGTTGGGGTCCCGGCGGATCATGCTGGAATGAAAACAGCAGGTCAAGAACAATCCTGACAGCCACTGAGGTACCAACTAGGAGAGCTCTGGCTCACCTCCGAGAACCCAGATTCACGTCTAAAGAAAACAGGCCCTGGCGACTCCAGAGCTAAGAAGGCTGAGTTCTGGCACCCCAAAGCCTCAGGCCACGCTGCGTCTTACCAGGCCGCTTCCTTCAACCTCGGCCCACCTTCGGCCAGGTCCAGCTCTCACACCCGTCAGGCATCGGGTAGCGGCGCAGGAGGTGCGGGACTCGAGCCCACCTCTGGCCGAGTCCACCCTCCGTTGCTCCGAATCGAGCACAGGGTCTGCCAATACAAACTCCTCACTGACCTGGCTCGGGCCCGAGCAAAGGGCCAGGGACCGGAAGCCACGGTGACATCATCAGTCCGCGTCGAAGTAACGGCCCGCTGTATCCTAGCAACAAGAGGCGGCAAGAGGATGGGGGGACCCGGAAGTGAGAGGCCGGGCCCCGGCTAGACCTGGGGTGGATTGGTTTCTATATCTCGCTGAGGGTTCCCACTTGGCCTTCAGTAAGGGTCAAGACGCAGGGACTTGTACCAAAGGGGAGCAAAGCAGGGCTCTGCCCGAGGCCCCTAGGACTTCCGTCTCCCAATGTTGGAGGTAGGAGGCCTTATAGCTCCCGCGCGCTGGAGTTAGAAAGTGGCTTACTACTATCTAGCTTGGAGGAGGGACCAGAGAAGGGCGGGTGCTGACCCTTAGATGCCTAGAGGTCTGACCCCTTAACACTTTCTGGGGTCTGGCCTGTATTCCACTGCCTTGGCTAGTGTCGGAGTGTGCCCTTGGACTAGGAGCCCGTTTCTAAATCTGGTCCTAACAGTCTCCTAGCTGTCTGACCTCCATCCAGCAAGGTATTTAGTCTTTCAGATCCTAACGCTTCCCAGCTCTAAGTCAGCACCTACGGCTAAGTGTTGTGAATTATGAGGCCAAACTGACTAGTTCCAATCCTAGCTCTTCTGAACTAGTTGTGACTTTGGATAGCCACTTAATATTTCCAACCTTCATTTTCCTCGTGTGTAAGATGAGAATGAGAATCATTTCATAGGTTGTTTCAAAATTAAATGAGATGTCTTTCCTACAGTTTTTGAAACATAGCCTTCAATGTGTGTCAAAAAAACAGAAATAATAGTATTATCTACCCTGATCCTCAAATCCACTGTGTGAGGACAGAAGAAATGGAAAATTAGACTTCTAAACCTATGCAGTTTGCTTCACATCTCTTGCCTAGTCAGGCAGGTATATATTGGAAAGGGATGCACCTCCAAAAAAAAGATAGAGTGACCAGGACAGACTCCTTGTAACCCATTTCCCCTTTCCATAGTCATGATCACCTTGAAGATTTTCTGGTTTTCACTGTTTCTGAATCCGTTTTAACCCTACTGCTACCATGCATATAGATTTAATCTGATACGTGCCGGATCCTTTGTTACCGGCCCTCCGAGAGTTGTGTAGAAGAGCAGGCTTGTTAAAGAACAGACTCTAATTCTATAGGTCTGGGGTAGACCCGAGATTCTACGTTTTTAACAAGTTTCCAGGTGATGCTAATGGAGCTTATTCGGGTTCAGCACTTCGAGAAGTAATATGTAGAGGATTTTACAAACTAGTGGATGGCTACAGGCAAAGTCCGGGTTAATGGCCTCAAAACTTGAGGTGGTCCCCGCCCCTTTGCTTGATGAGGTTCCCTCCCAGGAATCCGACACGTGACGGGTGGAAAAGCCCCCACTGAATAGAAGAACTTTGTAAGCTCCGAAGATGCCACCCGACCTGCCTTCCCTACTGCTGCGGCTTGTGATCCTGCTGCTGCTGTCCCAGGTAAACCAGGGAGGGTCGGACCGCCTGTTTGGGTGTGGGGAGAGGAAAATAGATCCCGCGGTGGAGAAATGGTAAACTACCGACCAGGCCAGTTTTATGTCTTAAGCACTTGGCAGACATGACCCTTACTCGAGACCTCTGCTGAGTCAGGCTTTGCAGGCTTTCGCCCTTGCAGGCAGAAGCTCGCTCCTTCGTAGTGGATCGGCAACATGACAGATTCCTCCTGAATGGGGTCCCGTTCCGCTATGTTTCTGGCAGTCTGCACTACTTTCGCGTACCGCGGGTTCTTTGGGCTGACCGGCTTCTCAAGATGCAATTGAGCGGCCTCAATGCTGTGCAGTTGTAAGAAGTGCTCGCGAGAGCTTTGTGGAAACGAGGTTTACTCTTCCTTAGGATGGGGTTCCCCAGGAAAACTGACTTGGGTTTGAAAAGGGTTTGAGCTCGGGGACTCTTCAGGCAAGGGTGAGAAAGGGCAGCCCAGAACCTCTTTTTAGCTGCATCTCTGCACGTTTTGAGTCTCCTAGGGAACCTTTGGGTCTTGTTAACACCTTCCTTTCTCAGTTACGTGCCCTGGAACTACCATGAGCCAGAGCCTGGGATCTATAACTTTAATGGCAGCCGGGACCTCATTGCCTTTCTGAATGAGGCAGCTAAATTGAACCTGTTGGTCATACTGAGACCAGGACCTTACATCTGTGCTGAGTGGGAGATGGTGAGTTAGTTGGGAGAAGGGCAGAACCAAAAGTGAAGTTCTTGTGGGGTTTCAACTCCTTTCTGCCCACACTCTAGCTAGGGGCCATTTCCAGTGCTATACTCAACTTCCTCCCTTCTTGCCTCCCCCACTTTACTGCAAAACAAAACCTGTCTGTAGCTCAATTGGTGGCTTATCCTGTAATCTCAGAATTTAGGAAGTTGAGACAGTAAGACTGAAGCTAGCCTGGGCTACAGAGTGAAACCCTGTGTCAAAACAAAACAAAAACAACTCCCGCCCAGCCTGCTCATGTGTTGCTTTATGTTTTTCTTAAGGGAGGTCTCCCATCTTGGTTGCTTCGAAACCCTAATATTCATCTGAGAACTTCAGATCCTGGTGAGTTGAGACAACAGATTTTAATGCCTGAACAAGAGGCCATCCCTCATTTAGAGATTATACATTTATTCTTTCCTTCATGTCTAGTCAGATGCTAGAAACTGGGAACTCAGAGACCTAGTCCCTGCACAAAATAAAACGTACAGTAGTGTGAGTTACAGAGCAGACATGTGAGGCACACCTATAATCCCAGTGCTTATAAGGTAGAGATGTGAGGGTCAGGAGTTCAAGATCGTCCTCTACTATGTAGGAAGTTGGAAGGCAGCCTGGGCTACAAGACGCCTTGTATCACATTAAAGTTAAAAAAAAAAAAAAAAAAGAGAGAGAGAGAGAGAGCGGGAGAAACAGAGACATTTGTTTTTCAAAACTATAAATAAGATCATATACTGTGACTATACTGTACAAAATCTATATGAATAAGGAGTTGAAATAATGAATAATGAGAAGTATTGAGGGTAGTAAGTAGTAAGAAGACTCTCTCTGAGAAGGTAACATTGTAGTTGGCGTCTGTGGAAGAGAAAGCACTGATCAAATGAAAAATGTGGCTAAATGGTCCATCCCTGGGATGGGAAGAAACATGGAGGGACGGAGGCAGGTAGAACTGCATGGCTGGAGCAGTAGTCAGGGAGGCAGGACTGTGAGGGGAACTCGAGCTGAGGTAATTATGCAAATGGCAGAGGCCCTTGCAGTCCTATGATGGAGTTTTGTGATTTATTCCAGTCACAGTAGAAAACCCTGGAAACTTTCCCGAGAAATATACCACAGCTGGATTTGCTTTAATATTACTTCAGCAACTGGGTTAAAGACAGCAAGAGTGAGGAAGTGAATGGAGATTCTCATGGCAGATGAGACGATGATGCTTAAGTACAGTGAGAGAAGTGGAAGTGGGAAGAAGAGGCAGACCTAAGAGATGGCTTGGGAGCACAGAGTAGCAAGCCTTGTGGACACATTTATATTGGAAGGGGAGGCCAGGTGGGAGGGCATGGGTAGGAAAAGAAAGGAATCAATTTTCTGACCAGTCAAGACCATTTACTGAGGAGAATGGAAGAGGCTGGAGGTGCAGATGACTGGACAGCCCATTTAAAGTGTGAAGGGTTAACAGAGTGCCAACATGCAGTCTGTTTTGTTCAAGTGACCTCTAAGATGTAAACTTCACTGTGATCTGGCAGACTTTGCCACTCTTGACTAGTCAGCAGCACTGGGCACGACTGGCCACCCCATCTTTGAAACACATTCTTCTAGTGAAGCATGGTGGTGCGTGCCTGAAATCTTAACACTAGGGAAACTGAGGCAAGGTGGTCCAGAGTTCAGTGCAGCCTGATCTACACAGTGACACCATCTCAAGAAAACAAAACAACACACAAAGCACTTACTCTTTCTTTAATGATGCTTCACTTGTCTGGCCCTGGCCTTACACAAGCCTTCTGACCATTTGTTCACAGTTTGTTTTTTTGTTTCCCTTTCCTCTAAAGGCTGGACTGTCCCAAGACTGTGTCCTTGAATATATCTCTTTCCTAATTTTGTTCTCTAGATAATTTCATCCATTTGTGTGGTAGATGTAACCTGTGTTGACCCCCAAATATGTGTCTCTCTCTTAGGACCTTCCCCATGGCTTCTCCACACATACCAAACTCCTGTGTTGCTTCTCTATTAGACAAATAAAATGTGCAATGATATAGCAGAAACCGAGTATGGCCTTTCAAAGCAGTTACTTATTTCTAGAGTTTCTGCATCCCAGCACTCTAAACACTGCAGTGTAACCCTTCACACCTCTCCTATCACACCACACACTTTCCTGTCACCCTTCATTCAGTCCATCAGTGTGACTCTCACTTAGTAACATTGAATTTAACTATTTCCGGTCACTTCCGCTGCCATCTACTGGTGCGAACCTCCCCTTGCTGCCGTTTTCACAGCATCCTCATTGCTCTTTCTAGTTGGCCTTTCCTCACATGTAGTCTGTTCTTGATATAGCAATTTGTGGGCTTCTATGAAAACAGTTTAAACATCCATCTTGGGTCAAGTCATACCTCCCTAATAAACTCTCGTCTCACTCAATATGAACCACATACTTAGACTCCCAGGCCCTAGGCCTGGCTCCCTGGTACCCGCTGCTGCTTGCTTCCTTGGCCCCAGCCACACTGCCCTCGTTGCTGTTCTTCATACTTACTGGTCTCTGTGTCCAAGGCATTTGCATGTAGTGCTTCCGAAGCACCTCTGCAGAAGTCACCTTCAGTGATAACTTCCTGCCACCATCTAAATTTTAAGCATTCCATACTGAACCCATTGTAGGCCTCCTTTCCTGCCTTGTTCCTATTGTCCCTAACTATATAGTTTTTCTCATGTCTTCCTCCACTCAAGAAAGAACCCATAATAGCCAGGCGGTGGTGGTGCACGCCTTTAATCCTAGCACTTGGGAGGCAGAGGCAGGCGGATTTCT